GAACACAACATATCCTCCTATCTTTGTGTCTTTTTAAGTCTCGAAAATCAATTTTCATTCATGTGGGGAATTGTTGGAAAAAGTGTGTTAAAATTGCATTAAATGGTCATTTCGGGGCAATTTTTTGAGTGGGGTCCACTTCCGATTTGGGTCGGGTCAAAGTGGTTTCGGATTGTCCTTGCTTAGGGCTACAATTCGATATATGGTACGCTCAAAACGGATAACGGGTGAATGAGAAATCGTTTTTCGAAGTTTACCCGTTGGAATGGAGAAAACTAGTAAAAGGTAGGTTTTTAGTGTGAGTTTTTCCCACACCGAAAATCACAAGGGAATTTGAACCCTTTATAAAGAGAAACCCCCCCTAAGGAGTTAAGCTTCCTAAAGGGAAAGGCTCTCTCACGCGCGCAGGGAGGGGGGGGGGGTGCGAATCAAATCCTGAAACCGAAGAACAAAAAGCACGACTTGCGTGCGCGGGCGACCTGCGGACACGAATGCCGTCCGAAAATCCGGAAATTGTGCGAGCCTTGGCTTATTCTTCTTCATCTCATTTCTTGTTGTTTTTTAAAGGAAACTGATTATATTATATTAAGCAAACTTTTCAACGTATTTCCCCCCTTACAATGTCAATACCCCTCAATCAAAACTTTAACAGTACTTCCCCTTGCAACGACAAGCCTCCTCGTGAGGCTCCGCATAGCCCAAAGGTCCTCCCACTCTCATTTCTTGTTTTTTCTTTAAGTCATTTTATTTAATTAATTTTTATTAATTAATTTTCTTTGTTTTTCGAAACACACCCAACAGCCTAATCGGCGCCGCCCACCCGCTCCTGAAGCCCTAATCGACGGTGATGTCACATTAATCGAACCATAGTCGCTGCCTGACATCATCAATGGTTGTTAAGCAGTTAAGCCTCCTCTGTCATCTCCGCTTCCCAGAGTCATTTTGTCGGAGAGAGTCACACTTTGGCGGTGAGAGAGGCGGCCATAGACTGATGAACGAGAGCGGTGCATTGGAGAGCTGAAGCCTGCATCGAAGGTCGAGGAGAGATGTAGAAATTTGAGAGAAGAGATGCGATGAACTGGTGAGAAGGTGCAACTGATTCGGCTAATCTCGATGTCATCCTGGCTTTTGAGACGAAAAGAGTGGGTCGGATGGAAGCTAATGGGAGTATTCTATTCTATTTATATACTCCATCCGTAACATAAAAATCTTCGTACTTTCCTTTTTCGTTCGTAACAAAAAAATCTTCCCATTTCTAAATCTTCTCATCGTACCCTCAATAATTTTGAAAATAATACACTATTACAACTACCTTTTTTGGATTTATCCTACATTCCATCACATTATTCCACTATCTTCCCATCATACCCTCAATAATTCATATTCTCTTTCACTATTCTTAATCTACGTACTTTTGAAATGAGAAAGTTTTTAAGTTACGGAGGTAGTATAAGAAAAGAATGGGCTGTGTAAAATACAATTTTGTCCTCAAATCCAATGTGTCCTCCAACCCTTAATTCACGCTCATTCTCTCGGCTATCCACGTGTCTTCCTTTTTTGAAGGAGAAAGAAAACCTCTGATTCTGAAATCTGAATTGAATAACTCCTCCTGCGTAAAATACACAAGCCACAAGCGCACACCATTTTTTTCTCCGATGATTCCTCAACGGATCGAAGAGATTGGGATAATTCCTCAGCCAGAAAATAAACGCTTCTTCTTTCCATGTTTATCTTCTCCGCACACCAAACACAAACTCCATCACTACCAGCTCTTCTCATGCCGATAAGTAGAGGCCAACCTTTTCTTTTCAAAATCTCCAAAAAAAACCTGAACAAATTGGTCTGAAATTGGGAGGTGTACGCTTCACCTCTCCATTACAATACTTCTGGCCAAATTACCAAATTGGTAAAAAAAGGGTTGTTGGATAGATTGGTAAAAAACAATTTGAGTCAAATTGGTAAAAAAAAAAAAGTCCTAGTGACAAATTGGTCAAATTTTTTAGAGTGATAAACTTTTGATCCTCGACTTTAAAATTCCATACATTTCATATTATAAGTATTGTGAAATTGACATATGCAGTCCTTTTACTTTGATTTTGTCATCGAAAGTGGAGGTCTAAAAATGCCAATGACCGTGTTTGATAATAATGGTTGTCTACTACGTTATAGCCGGTTGAGTCAACATATTAATAATAGTGGATTCCATTAGCTTTTATAATTAACTATCCGCTTTTTTTATCCGAAATAAAGTGTTAGTAACTTAACTATTTGTGATTAAATGTTAAGACGTAAAATAACCATAAAAAATATGAATTTTAAAGCATATATTTATCTTAAATTTATTTCTTTTATTTTTATTAAGTCTTTCAAAAGGTTTTAAAAATTATATTAACATTTATTTTAAAAAACCATGGAGTAGATTTTAAAAAAACTAATAAATAGTCATATGGAGTAGAATTCTCGAAGAGATTTTTTAAATGGAGTAGATTTAAAAGAACTAATAAATAGTCATATTTAAAATACTTATACTAAAAATATATGCATTTATGTGTGTGTACTCGCATCAATGTACATATCGTAAAAATGATAGTTTTATTAATTATTTAAAATAAACGTAAACATATTTTTTAAAACTTTTTCCAAGACTTATTTAAAATAAAAAGAAATAAAATTAATTTAAATATATAAACTTTTAAATTCATTTTTAACGGCCATTTTACGTTTGAAAAGCTAATTGCAAATTTTATGTCACTTACATTGTATATCAAAACGATAATGAAATCGGTTTAGTTAAAAAAACTAACGGAATCCGCTAATATCAATTTGCTGATACAACCAGCTATGAGCTAGCAAACAACCGCTATTTCAAACACGATCGTTGACATTTTTAGACCTCCACTTTTGACAACAAAATCAAAGTAAAAGGACTGCAAATGTCAATTTTACAATACTTATAATTTGAAATGTCGGGAATTCTAAAGTGGAGAATCAAAAGTTTATCACTCTAAAAAATTTGACTAATTTGTCACTAAGGCTTCGTTTTTTTAAATACTAATTTGACTCAAATTGTTTTTTTACCAATCTGTCCAACCGCCCTCTTTTTTTTACCAATTTGGTAATTTGGCCCAATACTTCTCTCATCTAATCATCTCTCCATCCATGATATTGCCTCTATACAGGTATGTCGTCTCTTCTGCTCATTCCATATCTTTGTACGCTTTTTGAATATATATATATATATATAGGGGTTAGTTCCTGTGAGAACACCCTCTTAGGAGAGCAAAAAAGAATCACATCTATCCATTGATTTATCTGATCGTACGACCACTATTATAGGGAAAATAAAACTGCCGTCCACTAATAGAGGAGTTAAAAAAGGTAATCTTTCATTTGAGTAATTATGTAGGGGCTCAATGGTAACATTACACGAGTCTTTAATTCACACGCATGCAACACTTTTCTCTATCATGGTAGTTCCATATCCTAAAAATTTGGACAATTAAATACGTTTCCATTATAAAGCTTTTTAATTGGGTGTACCTATGTACTATTTAGTGTACGTAATGCTATTTTATTTACCACATCTGATACTTCCAAGATAGTTTGGGAATGCACTTTAGTTATTAATCTCATGCACAATTATTTAAATAGTTATGCACTTCATTTATAATTTAAAAATATTTTCTGTTGTGTTAGTGACGTCCTTTAATAAGATCGTATGCACTTTTACTCGAAACATTGTGCACCTTTTATGTTACGCACTTTTACGTGTTATACAACATACCATTTTAGTAGGTGCACATTTATATATTTTGCACTATAGCTATTTAATGATTCATTTTTACGATAAACTATTGCAAATTGTGTATTTTAAATTCTATGTGTTTAACTTTCAAATTGCACTATAATGGACTATTAATTTGTTATGTATTATGCTACTATAATTTATGGAGTGCAACCGAAAATAAGAATTGTGCATAACACAATTTTAAATTACTATGCATTATGCTATTATAATTTCTGGAGTGCAATCGAGAACAAGAACTGTGCATAACACAATTTTTTCAATGCACACAATGTTATTTCAAAGCAAAAAGAACAATTTAAACAATACACTAATTTATACGATGCATTCAATGTTATGAGTGCTAATCAATAATGGTTCTTGCACCATTATCAACATAATGGCTTACCCTGGGAAAAAGTTTTGGTCGTATATCCCCTTCTACAAAAGTCCTAATCAATAGGAAATCAAAAGTTTTGCAAATATACTAAAATATGTGGTGAGCCTCTCATTCTTTATTAACCAATCAGAGAAAGAAACAATGAAAAAATATTATACGAAGAAGATGAAAGAAGTGGGTTTGCTTAGATCTTTTAGAAGAAAGAAGAAAATGAACGATGAAGACAATAGACCGGCAAATATTATGGGATATTAGTTACGGAAAGAATCGTTGGCAATAATGGACTAGGCAAATCTCCTATTTGCCCTTAAATGAAAAAGAAACAAAAAAATAAAAATTTAAAATCCAATGGCTCACGTCTATTCTTTTTTACTCTCATAAGATTAAGTTCTCACATGAACCTAAATCTATATATATATATATATATATATATATATATATATATAGAGAGAGAGAGAGAGAGGACTGCTCAGGTCCAGCCGGAGGGACGGGAGCAGCCGTCCGAACTTCACTGTTTGAGGCGGTTCCCGGTGTAATTTTTAGATTACATTTTTTTGAGCATGTTCCTCATCAAGTCTAGTTTGTCCATACCAAATTTCAGCTCAAAATTCGACCGGGAAGGTAGTCAAATAAATTCTTGAAACTTACTGCACTTTATATATGCGCAGAATGTGCAGTAAGCTTCAAGAATTTATTTGACTGCCTTCCCGGTCGAATTTTGAGCTGAAATTTGGTATGGACAAACTAGACTTGATGAGGAACATGCTAAAAAAAAATCATCGAAAAATTTCACCGGGAACCACCCCAAACAGTGAAGTTCGGACGGCTGCTCCCGTCCCTCCGGAGGGACCTGAGCATTTCTGTATATATATAAGAACATGATCTTATGAGAAAAATGAGAACGAATCAGGACCGTTAGATTTGCTTTATGTGAAATTCAATGTGCATTAGATAAAGCTGTAATGTGTATAAGGTGAAATTGAAATGTGCATCACAAAGGGTACGATATAGTGGCATTATGTGAAGCTAAATTGTGCATTAGGTGAACTTGAAATGTGCACTAGATGAAACTAAAATGTGCATAATAAAATGTACGATGTAATGTTATTTTTGTACCTTTTATTTTGCACATTTCAGTTTCACCTAATGCACATGTGAGTTTAAATGTTTATTTTGCACATTTCAACATCATCTAATGCACATTTTGGTTTCACCAAATGCACAATTCAGTTCCACATAATTCAATCCAACGGTCCAGATTCGTTCTCATTTTTCTCCTAAGATCCGTTCTTACCGGAACCGCTCCCTATATATATACACACACACACACATATATATACATACATATATATATAAGCCACTATGGATATCTATAGAATATTTATGCTGCTTTATCAACCGCCAACCATCTTAGTATTGCGACACACTTTTATTGTCTGATTCATTTTTGCGCATTCAGTATTAATTTGCTACTGTATTTATTTCTCTGTTTTTGAATGACTTTCAGGTGGACCAAAGTATATAAGGTAAATTAAAGTATATAAGGTGTTCTATGAAATGTTTATATGAGAAAAGCATATTAGTTTTTATAGTTCACCTTATCTGTTTTAGTTTTTTTTAAGTTAGATGATATACAAGTTGGTTAAATAACTGAATGTGATTATACTAAACCACAGTTTTATTTTTTTTTGTTTAGTTATACACGGTTGGCTTACTAAGTTTTTGAATTCAACATTTTTGGATATGATATACTTTTTGTATGTGCTCACCATTTTCACATTCATTGTTCTCAATCAGTTTTTTGAGCTAAATTACAACTACAATAATAGACTCTAAAACTAGGCATAAATCTTAATTTGATTGGCTTGGAGTAGTTTATAGCAGAAATCAAATACAACTTTTGTAATACTCCCTCCGTCCCAAAAACAACTTCACAATTTGACAATCACATAGATTAAGAAAATAAATTTGACTTTACTGTTGGGTGCACTGTTTTGCACTGTTCAAACACTGTTTGAACACTGTTTGACACTGTTTGGCACTGTTTTGATGTAGATAATTTGCCAAATAAGGAAAGTATTGAAGTGTGAAGTTAATTTAGGGACATCCATTTAAGGAAAGTGAGAAGTTGTTTTTGGGACGGGGGGAGTAGAGTTTAGTATTGCAGCAACAAATAAACACTCTAGATATTAATAGCTCAAATTGCCTTCTGCCTGCCATGGCACATCAAATCGGCACATTCAATCTATCTCGCTGTGTATAGGTAATGCTCCATCCAGTTTCCTCCAATACGATTATTATGTTTTAGCCAATTTTTGGCTATAGAATCTTGATTACCTTAACTTGTATGTTCCAAATTTTGTTTCATTTTATCTTGGTTAAAGTTGAATTATAATTACAATTCACTTTTCCTTTCCTTGAGACTACACTGTTTTAACTTTGTCGAAGTGATAGAAAAAAATATGTCCAACCCTTTTCAAATTCTTAGTAGCCATTCTCATTCTTAAGAGTTTTTTCCTAAAATTATGTTAAATAAAAAAATATTTACTAAAATAAGGTCTAGTTAAAAGTATTTCCCAAAATACTGCTCCCCTAAATTCTGATTATAAGAACTGCCACTTGAAGTGGCGGCTTATAGGAGTAACATACGTAACAACGCAATAAGCATGCGAAAAGAAGATGGGATAGTGGACCCACCAAAACAAAAAATATCATTTTTTAATTCAAACTGAAATAAGTTTTATATTTGTATTCTGATTATTACAAAAAATATACCAAAATTCATAACTTTTTATTATCTTCCATATGACATCAATATCGAATACATAAAAATAAAAAAATAATTTAACACTTTAAAAAATATACTACGTATGTTTAGGGAAGCCGCATTTTGGGAAATACTTTTAACTAGACCTTATTTTGGTAAATATTTTTTTTATTTAACATTATTTTAGGAAAAAACTCCATTCTTAAAGTGCATTTTGAAGCGCTTCTACAAATCTGAACAAAGGCCTCCGTTTTAGACAACTTTCTGATGGCTTTTTTTGTTCATAGTAAACCTTTGTTTCTGGAACAGAGGCTTGCTTAGAAACAATGTTTTAGGATTATAGTGGACTGTTTATATAAATCAACTTTATTGTCCAAAAGTTATTTTAATTTGAAAGTAAACATATATATGAAAGTTATTTTATTGTAAACATATATACAAAAGTAGGAGTCTGCTCATAATATAGCAGGAGATTACTAGCATTTATGTGCTCAAGAATCTTACCCTAAGTCAGCAAAAAATGAGGGTTTCAGTTCTTTATTGTGACTTTTCACTCTATATGTTACACTATCAATGTACCTCTGTATTAACCATTAAACTTTTGGATTGGATTTTCTACCTATATGAGTATGTTTTGTTTTTGTAGATATAAACTAAGATTCCATATGCCTATATTTTAAACAAAACTAAACTTCTTCATGCCTACTTTTGGATTGGATTTTCTACCTATATGAGTATGTTTTGTTTTTGTAGATATAAACTAAGATTCCATATGCCTAATTTTTAAACTAAACTAAACTTCTTCATGCCTACTTTCCATCAATTTAACAAATAAGTAATTCATATTTTTGGGATTCTTTAATCAAAACTTCAAATTCAGAACATAGTGAATGCAAGAGAAGAAAAATTGCAAATATTTCCTTTGTGCATGTTCTAAACTCATATCCGGATAAGGAAGAAAATGATCAAAGAAAAAGAAGTGCATTTTCTTTTCTTACTCCCATTTATGTGCTCAAGAATCTTAGCCCCAATAAACAAAAAAAAAAAGTTAATATCAAAGAAGCACTTTTAAAAATCAAAATTACTGTTCTTCAAAATCTTATAGCCCAAGAGTAGCTGAAACTACCTTTAATTTCTGTTGGGTATGCATGTTTTCTTAGTATGTTTGGTTACTGCCTATTTTGTTTGAACCGATTCTTTATTTTATTGTTTTACTAAAAATCTTTTTTCACGTGTAGCCTAGAAATTAAATGAAGAAGAATAAGAAAGTGGGAAACATTCTTTTGAAGAAGTGTCTGGACTTGCTGAACTATACATTCTATCATATGGAATTAGGTGCTAGGGAATTTGTCTCAACAATGAAGTTAAAAAACTACTACTTAACTAATAGCATAAAAAACACCAACTAATAAAGGAGCATAAAGATGTTTTCGCCTGGAGCCACGACGACATGACGGGGATTGACCCGCAAGTGATCACTCATAAACTGAATGTCAACCCTGCACATAAACCTGTCAAGCAGAAAAGACGACGTTTCGCCAGGGAAAGGAACGACATCATCAATCAAGAAGTGGAGACACTACTACGCACCGGTAAAATCCGCGAGGTAAATTATCCTAATTGGCTTGCTAACGTTGTTGTAGTGCAGAAGAAAAAGGGCCACCAAAAGGGCAAAAAACTTATGTGGAGGGTATGCGTCGACTTCACTGATTTGAACAAGGCATGCCCGAAAGACTCATTCCTGATGCCGCACATTGACGTCCTCGCAGATGCCACAGCAGGACACGAAATGTTGACATTCATGGACGCTTTCAGCGGTTACCATAAAATACAATTACACTTGGAGGACCAAGAGAAGACCGCATTCATCACCGAGACAGGTACGTATTGCTATGTTGTCATGCCCTTCAGTTTAAAAAATGCAGGTGCCACTTTCCAAAGATTGGTCACCATGATCTTCAAAGACCAACTGGGGAAAACCCTGGAGGTATATATTGACGACATGCTAGTCAGATCCAAAAAGGCAACGGACCACATCGATCACCTGCGGAACTCTTTCCAGAAGTTGCAAGAATACAATTTGAAGCTTAATCCTGTCAAGTGCACGTTTGGGGTGTCGTCAGGAGAATTCTTAGGCTACATTGTCAGCGAAAGGGGGATAGAAGCTAGTCTGGAACAAGTCCGGGCCATATTAGACATTGAATCTCCCAAATCAATCAAAGATGTCCAGAGACTGACCGGACGAGTTGCAGCACTCAACAGGTTCATATCAAAGTCGTCAAACAGGTGCCGACTTTTCTATGATGTCCTCAGAAAAAATAAAAAATTCGAATGGACGGAACAACATGAAAAATCCCTACAACAACTAAAGGAGTACATGACGACACCACCTCTACTGACGAAACCCAAGGATAGCAAGGAACTACATCTATATCTGGCAGTGTCTGAACATGCTGTCAGCGCGGTTTTGACCAGAGAAGAAGACGGATATCAAACACCAGTTTACTATGTAAGTAAGTCATTAAACGGGCCGGAATTCAGGTACGCACTTTTAGAAAAGCTAGTACTAGCATTAATTACAGCATCCGTAAAATTGCGTCCTTATTTTGAATCACATTCTATTTGCGTCCGTACTAACTATCTCATGAAGTCCATCATGAGGAAACCAGAACTGACAGGTCGAATGATCAATGGTCAATACAGTTAGGGGCATACGACATCAAGTATGAACCCAGAACAGCTTTGAAGTCGCAAGCCTTAGCTGATTTTGTGGCAGACTTCAGCCCCAAACTACAAGTAGAGGCGGAAAGGGAAGTATGCCTTCTGATAGGGGAACAACACCAACATTAGTGGATACTACATACTGATGGAGCCTCGAACATGCACGGAGCAGGCCTTGGAGTCATGTTGAAGTCACCACAAGGGGCACCATACTACAAGCTGTCCGGTGTGATTTCAACGCAACAAACAACGAATCGGAGTACGAGGCATTGATCTTCGGACTAAACTTAGCCCGAAACTTGGGCATAAAACTAATCGAGGTAAAGTGCGATTCCCTTTTAATTGTTAATCAAACTAATGGGGTTTATGCAGCTAAGGACCCAAAGATGACGGCATATCTGCAAGTCGTCACTGAGTTGAGCAACAATTTCGACAACATCACCTTTGATCAAGTCCCGGGGGAGGAAAATGTCCAGGCTGATGCCTTAGCAGCAATCAGATCATGTCTGGGGGCAGAGAGCAACGACAACATACCATTCGTCCATTTCACTGAACCAGCAATCATGAAGACGGAAGTTGTCAACATCATTGAATCAACTGCTGACAGCAACTGGATGCAGCCATATGCGAACTATCTCAAACACAACATCCTCCCAGCTGACAAAAGAGAAGCAAGAGCACTCCTATCAAAGGTAACGAAGTTTTTGTTAATTGATGACGTTTTGTTTAAACGTTCAAAAACAGGTCCATATCAAAGGTGCTTATCCCCACAAGAAGCTGTCAAAGCACTCAAAAGCCTTCACGAAGGAGAATGTGGCAACCACGCAGCAGGAAGAAGTCTGTCAAACAAGGCACTAAGGTTCGGTTACTATTGCCACATACACCCGAGCTTGTCAACCTTGTCAGAAGCATGCACCATTGCATCATCAACATGCAGAATCACTCCACCCTGTCCTATCTCCATGGCCTTTTATGAAATGGGGTATGGACATCGTAGGAAAGCTCCCTGAGGCACCCGGGCAAAAAGTCTACATGTTGGCAATGACAGGCGACTTCTCAAAATGGATCGAAGCGGAACCCTTCCGACAAATCCGCGACACCCAAGTGATATCTTTTATTAAAAGAAATATATTGAGAAGATTTGGCATTCCGTTAGAAATCGTCTACGACAACATATCACAATTCATCAGCATCAAAACAAGACGGTTCTGTGAGAAGTACAATATCAAACTGGAGATGTCGACGCCTCGTTACCCACAATCAAATGGACAAGCCGAGTCAAGCAACAAAATCATCATTTCAAATTTGAAGAAGCGACTTGAAAAGGCACAAGGAAAGTGGGCCGAAGAGCTGCCCCTAATATTATGGGCAGACAGGACGACACCAAAAAATGCTACGGGACAAACACCTTTCTCACTGGTCTATGGGTGCGTAGCTGTCATTCCAGTCGAGGTTGAAGTGCCAACATCTAGGTACGGGCTTATCACAGAGGAATCAAACAACGTAGAGCTGGTTCACGACCTCGACACCATTGACGAATTAAGAGAAAAAGCTAGAGTGCAAATGGCAGCCTATCAACAAAGGGTGGCAAGAAGTTACAATAAAGACGTCCGAGCTAAAGTATTCAGGAAAGGAGATTGGGTGCTTAGGAAATCCTTTGGCAATGAGGCAATCGGAAAGTTTAGTCCCAACTGGGAGGGCCCATACGAAATCACAGAAGTCGTCGGACAGGGGGCATATCAGCTGCGATCCGTCGACGGTAAGCAAGCGCCGAGGAGCTGGAATGCAGTACACTTAAAACCCTTTCATTTTTAATGTGATTAACATAGTCAATATGCCTTTCTTTCACATTCGTTACTAACTTAAGCATCGGAGGGCCGTTGGCTAAAAGCCAACGACCAGATTTTGACAATGTCTTTGTATGCAGGATGTTGACAAAACACAAAACAGTCAATACACATAGCGACAACCGCTAACACAATCCCCTAAACAAGGGAAGGTGGGGTCAGCTCGAGTCTTTCATATGAGAAATATGAGCCACGAACCGAGAAGCCCTACATGTTTTGGCCAAAACTACACAAAACAAACAGACAGATCATACATCACAAATGCTGACAGCATCAAAGTCAGACAAACACAAAACTACAAAAGTACGCAACAAAAGCGTGACAACATTAGCTCCAAAACATAAGGAGACGCTACGAACGACATGGATACAAATCATAAACACTCATGTTGACAACATTGACAAAATTACAAACGACACGTTATTTAAAGTTTTTGCAGGTTATGGATTATGTTCACACAACCCAACTTGTAATCTTTGACGACGGATGATGTCCCCTTTTCCAACTGGAATGTCGACATCAACATGAGAGATGATGCAAATTTCCATCATCTATTCGTCAGCACAACTTTTAACGGAAAGGGACAAAATTCTAGCTCATTGTTTCTGTCAAGAAGACGGATCTGATCAGAGGTTATTCGAAAGAAGGGCGGAAACATTTTGTCAAAAAGTTGATCAACATGTCACGATGGGATAAGTCAAGGTGCGAACAGTACTTTCAAATTTTCGACAAGTTGTTGCTGAATATATCGACATGTGTATCATTCGCCTTTACTTCTCGAAAAGGGGGCAATTGTTGGTACACGGGTTTGAAGGCCTGGACTACATTCAAAAAGGGTTGACCATAGCAATTAATGACACATTCATTAGGATTAATGCTAGCTAATTAAATCTGGTCGGTTTTATGTATATAATTAGAGTAATTATTGTAATTATGACATAGGTTACTCAAAGGGCTGACCAGAATTGATGATGCAATAATGACGATATTGATGTCGTCGTAACGGTCGGGACATGTCGTCGTAATGGTCGGAACATGTCGTCAACGGACAAAAGTGCATTAAATGCATCTCTTATAAATAGTTACAGGCCCTATGTAATCAGCACATTCAAACACGAATACACACACTCAGTTACGAATACACACAAAAGATCTCTCCTATTCTCTCTATTGAAGTTCATAGCTATTCATATTATATTCAAATTATCGATTATAGATTAGTCCATTTATTTTATCTTGTCAATCATTCTCATTTGATCTTATTTGCTTGATTCCCAACTCAACTCCATATATATTTTAGATTAGTTTATTTTGGCAAAAACACAGTGCTATTAAGGGGAGGATTCATGCCAGTTCACCAACTTCTCACTCCCGGCAATACTTTCATTTGGTGTACGCCACAATCTATAATAATGGTGACTTTCATTTAATAACTACAAAGATGTTTTTTTAAGAGAATATTACCAAAATAGGACCTAAAAAGGTTTGAAATTTCCAAAATAGGACTGACATATTTTTATTCTCAAAATAAGACTAATCACTGTCATGTTTTGGCAGTACCAGACTTCAACATGACAGTATTTCCAAACTTGACAGTAATTACTCCTATTTTGGGAATAAAAAATATGACAGTCCTATTTTGAAAATTTCAAACTGTTTTGGTCCTATTTAGAGAGATTTCCCTTTTTTTAACTACAAAGATATAACAATAGTAATAATAATAATTCGTAATAAACTATACTCCGTATTTGATTAAGAATTGATATACTCTCTCTGTCCCGAAAAGGTTTACCAACTTTGACTTTCGCGTGGATTAATAAAGTAAAAATTGTGTGGTTCAAATTTGTGTAGAGGAGAGAGAATTAACTTTCGCCACATATTTTTTACTTTAAATGGAAATGACAAATCTTTTTAGGACATCCAAAAAAGAAAATTTGGCAATCCTTTTCGGGACGGAGGGAGTAACAATTAAGTGAATAAAATAAAATTGTAATATACAATTTGGGACGAATGTAATTTGTTTGAATTTTATAGTCGTACTAGTTGTATGACGCGCGATGCGCGAAGGGATAATGCCCAAAGGTGTCTTTATAAGGTTAATATAATATAATGTTAATGATTAGTACATTTGAATTGAAATTGCACACAAATTTTATTCATATATTTTTCATATAATGAATGATTAAAAAGAGACATGAGGCATCCCTTTTCCCATAAGCGGTAAAGCGGGGTAAGGGTAATTCCCAAATACCCTATAAGATTAGGGAGCTTCTTCTTGTATCCATTATTGTACCCACTATTGTACTCATCATGTCTTCATAGACATATGTTTGTCTATGACCAGGGTGCACAGACAAAAAAAAACTCATCACAGACATGGTGTGTATAGAAGTGAGTACAATAGTGGGTACAAATAGTTTTTTTTATAAGATCAGATTATAATATCAATATTGTGGTAACAAACAATTGAGGAAAAAAGTAAATGAATGATGAGGTATACAATGTGTAGAACATGTGTGCCATATTTTTATTTAAGTCTTTTTTGTAGTCATTAAGAAGCAAGTGCAATAATGAATAGACCGGTTAATATTCTTTAAGCATATGAAAAAATTTGCAATGGCGGCTGGTGATGATATAAGATCCCCGTTTATAGTAATTATACGTTCTACACATAGACATATGACAATATACGAAGTATCATATCAAACTCGTGACCGCCTGCGTACCCGGGACTGAACCGGTATCCATAATACCTTCCGGCCTCTGTCAAATAGGAACCACGTCTGGACAGTCCGTAACTGTAAATGGGTCCCTGCCTACTTATGTATGTGCAATAAAAGAAATTAAGACATATTAAAGTATGATATCGATATTTTGGAATTTTATTATAATTTTGAATAATAATAGCAAGAACGTATGCTTTTATATTTATAATATAATAATATCATACAAATTCAAGAATAACAATAGTGATAAATATTAGTAATAATAACCATAAAAATATTGATAATAGTATGATGATGATGATGATGATGATGATGATGATGATGATGATGATGATAATAATAATAATAATAAATAAAAATAATAATAATAAAAGTAATAATAGTAATAATAGAAGTAGTAGTAGTAGTAGTAATAATAATAATAATAATAATAATAATAATAATAATAAGACCAACAACATTGATGATGAATCGATGATGATGATGAAGGCAGTGAATCGCGGCCAAACTTTTTTTAATCTAATTTTTGTTTTAATCCGACCTAATCTGAAATTTTAAGATTTGCTATGATTTAAGTAAAATAAAAATAAACAATAAGCAATAAAAATAAAATGAATAATTGCAAAGCTTCTAGCAAAGAGATTCAACTAAGGATGTTTTTACTTGAATGGAATATTTCTAGTCTGGTCTGATCTGGTATACGGCTTATCATTGTGTATTTTACAACTATCCAAGTCTGATTTTGTCTGGTCTAATTTAGTCTAGTCTGGTCTGCTCAGATCTGCTCAGTCTATAAAATAATGATCTATAAAAAGTGCTTTGTCCACTTTCAATTTGGCACGATTATTAATAAAGTGGTTGAAAAGTAAAAGTTGTGATTGGGATTTGAGTAAAATAAATTGAAATGATAAGGACCACATATTTCTTGCCAAAAAAGGAAACAAGACATTCATTTTGGGACAACCCAAAAAGGAAAGTAGGACAACCAAAATGGGACGGAGGGAGTACATAATACATAGCTCATGTAAAAAATGCATGTGCTTTCTTGGGGAATGGCATGTCCAGAATTGAAGTGAGTTTCTTTTTTTTCTTTTTTGGGTATGGATGCTTCATACTAAGGAATCTGTGTACACATAACAAATACAGCATACATATTTAGTGCGTAGAGTAGTTTACTGACAAGGATCTCATTTGGTCAACTTCTATTTTGACCACAACCGTTCATATTTTTAGCTTAGCTTATTAGTATCACGTTCCTTAAAGCTAGACGCTAAAAACCCACTGCCTCTATTAGAAATGACCTCCTAACTGTGGACATACTCATCATTAGAAATCCAGTTTCAATTATTTCTTTTCGATGAAAATGAATTGTTCACTTGAAATTAATACTTAACTCTAATGAGTAAAAATGAACTTTATCAATCTAGGACCTAAAATATCAATCTAAGACTAAATTCTTTTCGATACAAGGCTTGAATGATTGTGTTGGGTTAAGGGCCCAAGCCGAGGTCCGGCCCACTAACCCTTCCTTCACCAGACGTGCGTCCAATCAGACCACAAGGCCAGCCCGCAGGCCCATATTCCTTGGGGAAGGATGAACGTCGGGGATTGGGAGTTCAGGCCCAGCGGGCTACCAGGGGATGACGACGAACGTCCCCATGGCAAGCCTATAGTTATCCGAGGAAATCCAGTCCACATGGAGAGAATCCACAAGGCCAGGAGACGAACAGCCGAAACCTCTTGAGGATCACTTGGAGCGATCCAGCTCGCTTCCCAGGCGGACGAACGTCCCCATTATTTAGGCGGGAAACCTAGATTCTGGCGGGAAGCGCATTTAATGCTGAAGATTTGGTGGTTGGGACACAAGCGGTCCACAGGCCTCCACGTCAGCATAGCCACCTGTCCATTGGCGGGTATAAATAGAAGCATTTATTTCATTGTAAAGGGTTGGCAACTTTCTATTCTTAGCACTCTAGCTATAACATCCTTACTCACAGCACTTCTATTGCCTTGTAAGACGAACGGCCGACGGAGCCTTAGCAGAAAGTATTGTATTAGGGAGTTATTAAGAGATAATAATACCTAATCACTTACTTGCTACCTTTACCGTTTCTTGATCCCTATTATCTGCTTGTTGGGCTAGTTTATTCACACACACTCCATTCGAAATCCTTGGGCTTATGTGTTGGACCCGGGGGTTGAAGGAATAAACCTCAACAGATTGAAAACTATCAACCTAACACTTAAAATATGAGGATATTTTTTTAAATTTATTTACTTTGTTTGAACTAATTAACTTTTGTGACAAAAATCATAAAAAATAGAAATAAAATAAATAAAAAAGTAAATAAATCAGAATATATTATATTTTAGGTCTTTGATTGATAGTTTCCAATCATTCGGGTCTTATATCAACAACTTTCATCTTTCATGTCCTCGATTTATAAAATTCCAAAAAAGGAATTGCATGGTTGAAGTAATTTTAGGGCCAAAGTCAAAGTTGGCCTGACAAGACACTGTTAGTTCAAGTGTTCAACCTGATACAAATCCTACTCTGAGTATGAATTGTGTGAATTAAACAAAGAGAAGTCTAACCATGTCTTCTCTTTCATGATTGTACAACTACGAAAACTGAAGGTACCAAATGCAGGAAATTTTTGCATTTGCTCTAAACAATTGTCTGCTTTTAAGCCTCTAATCTGACTCAAACTTTGCCCACTCGAACGTACTTATTAGCCGCCTAAACTTCTTATGATCAATAGTTTGTTAGGATAACAAAAATAATTTAAACATCATAGTTAGAGAAAAAATAAAAGAGCCCACACCTGAAGGACAAAAGAGTCTTCTAATACTCAAAATCAGAACACTTTCACTGAATCCTATGAAGTATATTATCATGAAGGCACTAATGCACATGGAATTCAACACGTTTGGCACCATTTGTTGCAAATTCTATATGATATGATGCCACCAATGCAACTGTTTCAATTTCTCCCCCACGGTCTCTCAGTAAAGTGTTCATTGTACGTTAATGCCTCATACATGGTATGCTGTTGTTTTCTATTTCGGAGTTTCTTCTAGCTAACGCCTAACGCCCCTTATCTTTTTAGCTTGGTTCTCTCAATTTCTTGTAATTTGTAAACTTACCTAAGCTTCTGTTAGTCCTGTTACATCTCCAAGAATATATCAGAACCATCTACCTGTTCCCAAATTGTGTCATCAAGTGACTTTTTTATTTTATTCCCAGCCAATAATCAAAGAATAAAAGTTTATTCTTCAAACCACGACACTTTAAGACTTTCATCTCAATAAACCCTCAAAAAGCTCATTTACAATCAATGATACCTTATAGCTTAAATGTGCAGGTTATATGATTATAGTATAAACCAGAGCTAAAATAATTTAATAATCATATTAAGTGCGTAAAA